CGGAGCTTAATTTCTTAAAAAACGGAGCAAAATAGACGCTTAATCCCAAAATATAACTACAATACTCTGAATAACACTTTAAACTTCAAAACCCCTCTGATTTTGATTACAAAAACTGGATATTTCGCCTAAAATAAATCAAATGGCGTAAATTATATGAAAATTAGGGTTTTCAATGAATAAGTCACAATTTCTTCATAAATTAATGAACAAAAATTTGTTAATAACATGACATGAAGAAAATCATGAGCTTTAAAAACCTTAGATATCAAGCAATATGATGCCCACTTTCAGCAGAAATCATCACTTTGGCGGATCGTACTCAGAAATATGGTCGGAGCTTGATTTTTTCACAAGTCGAGCAAAATAATTGTTGAATCAGAAAAAATACGACTATAATCCTCTTAATAACACTTTAAACTTCAAACCCCTCTTATTTTGATTACAAAAACTAGTTATTTCGCCTAAAATTAATCAAATGGCGGAAATTATATGAAAATTAGGGTTCTTCATGACTCAGTCACAATTTCTTCATAAATTGATGAACAAAAATTTGTTAATAACAAAAATAACTTACACAATGAACTGAAGAATATCAAGAGCTTCAAAAACCCTCAAATATTATGCTATCTGATACCCAATTTCAGCATAAATCTTTACTTTGGCGGATCGTACTCAAAAACATTGTTGAAGCTCGATTTCTTAAAAAATAGAACAAAATAATTATTGAATAAGAAAAAATACGACTATAATCCTCTCAATAACACTTTGAACTTAAAAACCCTCTGATTTTGATCCAAAAAACTCTCTAATTCTCCTATAACTCATCAAAAGGAAGAAATTTTTAGAACTCAGCCTTTTTTTTCAAAACTGTGAATCCAATCTACTATTTTATAAAGCCGGGTGCTACTGATGCTGATGCTCGTTCAACCGTGCTTTTTTTGAAAAAAACTGTGAAGCAAAACTCCATCTTTGTCTTTTGCTATAACAAGTGCTGCTTCTATAGGTGTTGCTTCTAGTTTGACTGGAGAAACTGTAACCGGAGCTGCTAGTGGTGGATAAGCTTGCTATGGTAGTGGTGGGGGAGCTGACTAAGCGACTAGTTCTGACTCTGCAAAGCCTGTCATGGCTCAATAATACAACAAAAAGTAAAAATCAAGTGAATTTTTCACTGTTCATGCAAGGAATTGGTGAGACTCGCTCCAAAAACCAGTGACTCAGCGATTTTTTTGTCGAACTAAGACGAATCCCTTTTTTTGCTGAATCGATGATTCCCAATCCGGATCGCCCGCTTCCGAATCATATCGCCTATTTGTTTATCACTGCTCACACCATATTCACGAGCCGTGATGTTATTTTTTGAGAAAAAAGTATTTCCTTTCAAAAACACAGCATCTGACTCACATCCTTCTCATGTTGTTTTACCCAATCCCGTGCAAGAATTGGATACCCATACTGACTATGTTGTTTCAAACAACCAACCAACGTCCTCCATCAATCCTCTACTGAAGGAGATAACCATTTAAATTATGAAAACAACAAGTCACAACTTGTCACTCATGATGCCTCAGTGCCCCATATTCCCCTTCGTCAATCTACTCGTCCACATGTTCCATCAGCATGGCTTCAAGACTATGTCTGCTCTATTGCAAATTGCAATCCATCACAGTAAGAATCCATCTCCATCACACCATCTTCAATTAAGCCTTATCCAATTGAACCTTTTTTCATATGTCCAAAATTTTCGCCAACTTACAAAGCTTTTGTCTCCACCATCTGTTCGAAAGAAGAACCCAAAACTTTCTCTCAAGTTGTTAAAGATCCTCTTTGGCTTGAACCTATGACGGCAAAAATTAAGGCCCTTGAATTAAGCAAGACTTGGACCATAGAGCCACTGCCCCAAGGAAAACATCATATTGGATGTAAGTAGATATTCAAAATCAAATACAAAGTCGATGGAACCATAGAGTGTTATAAGGCTCGTTTGGTTACAAAGGGGTACATCCAAACAGAGGGATTGGACTACCATGAAACCTTTGCCCCCGTCACTAAGTTGATTACTGTGAGATGCTTACTCGTTGTTGCAGCCTCTCACAATTGAAATCTTTATGTAAATAACGCCTTTTTACATGGCGATTTACATGAAGAGGTATATATGAGAATTCCACCAGGGTTTGCTCAAGAAGGGGAGAACAAAGTCTGTAGACTTCACAATTCTCTTTGTGGGCTAAAACAAGCCTCAAGGAACTGGTTTCAAAAATTTTCAAATACTCGTATTGTCACTGGCTTCAAGCAATCGCCTGCGGAGTATTCCTTGTTCACCCACAAGTCTGGAGATCTCATCACCCTTGTATTAGTGTATGTTGATGATATCATCATCACCGGGAACAATGAGTTTCAAATTCACTGACTAAAACATTTTCTTCAACAACGATTTAACATCAAACACTTGGGAAAGTTGAAATATTTTCTTAGGATAGAATCGGCAAGGTCACCTCAAGGAATTTTGCTCACTCAATAAAAGTACACTCTTGATATCATCAAAGAAATCGGTTTTTTGGGAGTCAAACCCATATATCTCCCTATGGAGCACAGTTTGAAACTCTCTCCTGAAGATGGACAATTACTTGATAACCCAGAATCATATAGAAGACTTGTTGGGCGACTGATCTACCTCACCATAACATGCCCAGACATCAATTTTGTTGTCTACATTCTCAATCAATACATGCACCAACCAAGATAGTTACACCTTGCCGCTGCCCATGGTGTTCTTCTATACCTTAAGGATCAATTTTGTTGTCCACATTCTCAATCAATACATGCACCAACCAAGATAGCCACACCTTGTCGCTGCCCATCGTGTTCTTCTATACCTTAAGGGATCACCATGTTAAGGGGTCATTTTATGAGCAAACTATTTACTTCAAATTTCTTCCTACTGCGACTCTGATTGGGCTAGTTGTCCCACTACAAGGCAGTCCACTACATAGTACATCGCATACCTTGGAACCAGCCCACTATCATGGCGAACGAAGAAACAAACAACAGTCCCTAGTTCTTTAGCAAAAGCCGAATACTATTTAATGGCGACCACTGCTTGTGACTAACATAACTAAAGACTTTATTTTCAGATTTGGGGGTTCTTCATTTGACAATCAATACGTCTTTATTGTCACAACCAGGCTACCCTCCACATTGCAATGAATCTTGTGTTTCATAAAAGAACGAAATATAGTTATACCATTTCATCCCAAAAAAAATTTTAACCCTTTTTTTCGCTTTCCACCCATTAAAGAAGTTTTTAGGTTGAAATGGTATAAAAAGATTTGTTGGGGCTACTTTTTATGATCAAAAGTCAATAAAAGAAATAGATAAAAGATGAGGGGGTATGGTGAAATCTTTAAGGGTTTTTTTATGCCACTTGAAAGAAAAACAGAAAAAGGGTCTACCATGAAATAATACGAGATATTGGTGGCCATTTTTTCATCGATTTAATACATTCGTTATTGTAGTCAATAAACTATTATATACTTTATCCATGATAATTCTATGATTTTTCTTTTGTGTGATGCAAATTTAATGGTTAAAATAAATTCATACAAGGAAAGAACATTTCAATATTCGCATATTGATGAAAAAAAATAAAAGTTAATAATGTAGGATCTCATTTCTTATTGGATTCCTAAAAAACAACATTTATAATGATTTTTAATAATTGTTTTGAATTTTTTTATTGCTACCGATTCCCAATTCGAACCCCCAATTCACTTATCCGGATGGGTTTTTAAAGTGCTCGATCCGAAACACCGACCGGTTTTTAAAGCACTGCTAGGTGCGATACACATGTGGATGTCATATAACACTTGCATCAGGTTGAAGCTATATTGACTTGACGGGTTTTTTATCATAACAAGAAGAGTAAAAGCTTTTATTTCACGGCCAAGTGGAAGGCCTTATGAAAAGAAGCAAGCTCAGAAAAGATGCAACCATGTGGAAGTACGAGGGTCGGGTCAATGATAAGTCTAGCCCAATACTTCTTAGCAACGCCCCCAAAAAGAATGTCGAGGAGCTCTTCGCCGGAGATGCTTGACAGACCCCAACTTGGTGCTTGTGTGCTGGTCGAGGACTCTGTGTGTAGACCTTCCTTAGCGTAGCCAACAAACAAGGAAATGACCCACAATCAATCCTTACACTCTAAAACGACCTATGGGCTTCTATTACTCCATGGCATTTCATTTAATTTTTCACTCTGCAATCCAACCTTTTAGGCCTAGAAACTCAGCCCTGATCGAACTTCGATGGGAGGCAAAGCTGATGTGGCGCACGACACGTCAGGCTTGGCCCAAACAGCCACAGATGCTGCCAGAATTTTTTTTCTTTTTGGGGTAGATCAGTCAGAGATTATAGGCCTCTGCGTCTGTTTTGGAAAGAGCTAATATTTTGAAAGTATCAGTTAGAATGGAGGTAAGTGACCTTCAACTAAGGCTCTTCAATGACCTTCAACAGGTGGTACTACCACCACGACCCCACCCCATTCTCAATATAAATATCAATTAAAATGACCACAAACCATGTAGGAGTAATGCCTCCTTTCCATGTGGCCCACCAATTCAACATTCAAATTTATGTTAAAGTTTAGAGACATGGTGTTGTGCGTGTGAAGCAGAGCAGACCATCATCCTTCGTAATCCTTTGTAAACTCCAAGGTAGCCATACTTTGGAGCCAAAGCACGGCTAGACCAGTGATGGAAGTGGCCCGCTCCACCAGACATATGCTGCCCGATTTAATCAATCACCTCAAAAATACAACGCAATTGTGGTCAGTTACATGAGGCTTGAAGCCGCTTGAGCATACACCAAAAAACATACATGATATGCCCATCAGTCTTTGTAGAGAAAATGATCTCCAGTTTTGTTTTAAGTTGGATTCATCACAATACTGGACAATTAAAAGCAGCACTTCATATGAAAATTGTGCATTTGTAAGGAAGGGGGGAGATAGAAAGCAGTTCCTCCAACTCTAATGAGAAATATTAGTGCTGAGGGGAAAATATAATACAAGGTTCCAACGAGAATCAAGTGTGCAAAAAGCTTCATCATTTACTGTACAATGATGGAGAAAGAGAGTCAGCCAGTGCAGTTAGAATGGGATCATGAACTCCCATAAATATTCTCTACGCAGTTTACCTGTGTTAACGAACTAAGCCATTTACATCTAACTTAACCTAACCAGATAATCACTTCAGTGATTCTCCTCTAACCTATAGATTGGATCAACATAGGCTTCCACATTATAAAGGAACAAACCGAACGCAACTGCCTCCAAAACCAACCTCTTCAAACTCGAAATTGAAATCAAAAGCACTTCATCCTGCTCCTCTCCCATACCCTCCTCTCCTTCCTCCTCACATTCCCCAAACAGTGCCCAACTGTGCTTCTCTACCAAATTTACCGCTTCCTTCGACCTCAGAGCCGCACATCTCTGGAAGGTCTCCGCATTAAACCCAGTAATATATCTCTTCAAGGAATCAAGCTCATCAATTGTTTTACTTGAATAGGTATCTCCACAACAAGTCTCTTGCTCTTCCGTAACTCCAAGAGGAATCAAAGTCTCAGGTGTGAGATGCCAGCATCCACTATCAGGCAGAGTGATACCTTGGAAAAGAGGGTGATCAGATCTGACATGGAGGCTTTTCTCCAAGTGATACCTTCGACAAGCAGATTCTAAGAAGTAGCCATACATTACCGAAGATGCATAGAGTTTCCCAAGTTGAAGCCTTCCAATAAGGGTCATCACACAGCTATTCAAAGTGTAGGATGAGTCACTACGTCGGCCAAGGATCTTGTTTAAGTGATCTTTGACCATAATCCGAGCCTCCCAGTCATGGATGGCCTCAAGCTCGCTGTCATGGCATGACCAAGTGTCTGCTTTCCCATTTTTGATGCACTTTGACAGTCTCGGCACCATGGGGACGTTGATCTCTGAGAACTTGTGAACGATCAACATGTACATCACTTCTTCAATTGCTACTTGACATTCCTTCTCTCTCAGTTCGGCAACTCTCCTGATATAATAATACAATGAAACTGATTTAGCAATGATGGCTCGAACAAACTCATATGGTAAACTACCGAAAGTAGATCTATTATATTCAGCTCAACATCTCAAAAACTATTACTAGTGGTAAACACAACTGCAAACCAGCCTCAATGAACTTGAAGGACTCAATGTAGATTCATGCATAATTTGATCTCTATTTGCCATCATGAAATAGAGATTATTACATAATGCTTTTTCTTTTTGGAAGGTAACCAGGTTGAATCTTGCTGGCACATCTAAAGAAAAACCTTTTCCTCTTTATGTAATCATCAGTAGCGTAAGCTGAAACATTAAAGGTAAGGTCCAGGGGACTTGTGAATTTACCCTAGCAAGGACTACCTTTATCATGTTCTACCTATGGATGTTCTAATGAATGAAGGAGATTAACAAAACATATTCAAATAATTAAGATGAACATTATACAATGAACTTATATCAATATTTTATAATATCATTAGTTGCAATGTCAAATAGCAAATAAGGGAAAGCTTTCTATGTTCCCCCTACAACATAGAAGTTCTATCCTCCCCCTTATCCAACCGTCCATTTTTTGAATGGAGGGCTAAGATTGCCCCAATCACAATGTCCCGTCTCTACACTATTTTATTTTTAATTTTTTTTATAAACTGTTTTGACACTAAAGTTTGGACTTCCAATCCTCATTTAAACTTGCACTAACGAAAAATATAAAAAAAATATTTTCAATAAAATAAAATGACCAAAATACCCTTGAAAATTTGAAGGGGTATTTTGATCATTATGTTTTATCGAAAAATTATTGTTAATATTTTTTATAGGTGGGCCCCAATGAGAAGATGGCACTTACCAAATTTCATATTCAGAAAAAATGTATTAAAAAAACTAAAAATAAAATACTTTGAGACATCGGATCTAAAATCAAACAGTGAGTGGCTCTCTTGATAAAAAATGGATGGCTGAATGGTAGGGGGAAGATAGAACTTCTATGTTGTAGGGGGAACACAAAAAGCTTTCCCAGCAAATAATGCTCAATGACATATCATTGACTGTATGTTTATTCTTTACATTTAGAGAAATTTGAGATGAGCATGACCTATATTTGAGAACATTTTAGGGAAGCTTGACATGTAGTAATCCAAGAAATGAGGACAATGGCTCATTTGGTTTGCCCAAAAGTAATAACAGGGGAACATTTGATTTACTCTTATCTAGAACCATGTCATCAAAAGTCCAAGAGAGAAGGACACCTTGGCCAGGTGCCTAGGAGAAGCAAGCCCCAAGCACTTGACTAGGGTCCTGCCAGATAAGAAAACCTAGGGGAATGGATAGGCATGAGTAATCATGTATAGTCATTTGCCTCTACCTTTCATTGTCTAGGCTCTAGGAACCCACCTAACTGGTTAGCCACAATCTTTAGAGTTTAGAACCATGGGACCCTTGGTTGGGGTTAGTTTGACCATTTTTGTTTTAAATTTTTTTTTTTTTTTTTTTTTATTCCTGTCGATTAGAAAATAATTGAGGCCTTTAAAACACTAGTTAGGTATAGGAATTAGGAAGCAATGTATTATCTCGAAAGAAAGTGTGCCTTTCTTCCCGAGACCAGCTTGAGCATTGAAATAAAGTTAAAGAAGCCTTGTGACTTATAGAGAGCCAAGTTTACATGTTATGTAATGCAGTTCATCTTTGTTGTGTGTTACCCCGTGAAGGGATCTAGATTCACGTCTGGTGTATAATCAAAGAATAAGTCACCAATTCCAGCACAAGAACTTTCATGGGTACTTAAAAGATATCACAGAATTCAAGATCCATGAACTTCTCCAAATTTTGTGATAATCTATAATAGTTACCCAAACAAGAACCTTAGAGTTGATAATAAAAATACAACCAGACACATATATTTGAGGCATGCGTAGACTCAAGAGTTTGAAAAAAAAATAGCAAATAATGATACAAAAATGCAAAACTCATTCAATGAATATTCAATCCAAAGGGGGGGTACTTCTTCAGAGAAAAGGATATTCAGATGACAAAGTCAAGATTTACAATAAGTGAGTTTCACCCAAATAGTCAGAAAGCCATGTGACTTATTGGATTGAGCAAGGTTATATTCAATCCACTGCTTTTTTACATAAATCACCCATTGAAAAGGAGCAGAGAATTCACTCTACCTAAACTTTTTTCCTGATGGATCAGGACACCAACACATTCCAAGGAAAGGCAACTCTCATTAGGTAAGGCATCAAAACATAGATAGCGAGATATCACTGGTAAATACAATAAAATAGAATTTGAGAAATTATATAAATTGCACGCTCAAAAATCCCCATGGCTGAGCAATGCTCAATTAAATTAGATAGTTCACATGTTTCCAAGCAAAAGAAAGCAGTAACCCAAAACCATACCCATAAAAAAAAGTTTAAAATTTTTTTTTTTAAAATTTGCATTCCATCGCAAATCATACTGTAGAAATCATCTCTTTTGGGTAAGTAATACTTCAGGAAACCAATCAAGAAAACCCCTGACCCAATAACCGTCTCCATCGATACCACTATCAAAGCCAGTGTTTGAAACCACTACTCGGGGCAAGTACTTGGCCCATGCCCGATCCGAGTACTCAGCCCGACAGTAGCAGCAAGAAAAAGGTTAAAAAAATTGTAAAAAATACAAACAAATCCAAGAAAAAGGAAATGTACGTTTCAAGTAAGATTAAGCAAAACTCATCAAAATGAGGTTAAAAAAGAAGTAAATACTAGATTTAAAAAAAAAAATCTGAACTTGTGGGGGTAGTTTCAAAATAATCCAAAAAAGATGGGAAAAACGTAAAAATAAGTATTTATGGCCAAAACAGTTTTCAATGTTTGCCAAAATGATAGACAACATAACAAAGCTACATAAATAAATTCCTTATTTGTTGGGATTTTTTTATGATTTCTTTTGAATTTTTTTTAATATCCCCGAGTGTGACACCCAACTCGGGTAACTCGGGCTTGCAACCCTGACTCAACCCAGTAGCCAAACACCGATCAAGGCATCAATTGTTAATCCCACCTACTAACCCATCAATACTAGTTCCATAAACGGAATAAAGGATCCCCGAACCACAAATCATAAAATTTTGAAGGACAAACCTGTGAAGGAGGGATTCTTCATTGCCCACACATAGTTCTTGCCTTGCAATGGCTCCAGCTCTATCAGCAGATAACTTCTCAATTTGTTCAGACACCGCACCATTAAAAAGGTGGCGATGATACTGCAGAATATGGCTCAAGAGCTTGCCTTCTTCTGATTGTGGTTCCATTGGTGAAAACACTTTTCTTGTATGGCATTTACCAGATCCTGCACTGGCAACCGGACCCAATCGAGCCTTTCCATTCTTGTTTTTTGTGTCAACCCCAAAAGGCCCAACATTATTGAACTTAACAGATCCCTGTATAAAACGAAAAAAAAGAAAAAGAAAACGAAAAAGAGAACGAAGTTCAAAACTGAATTAGTTAATGAATTGAAAGAAGAAAACAAGCTATTTCCAAAGAAATAAGGGGACCTAATTCGATTGCTACCAGTGAACATCCTTAATCAAGGGTCCCATTATTTTAAAATTTCATATACTAACTATCTTGGAAAATATCCCTGGAAAAAAAAGTTTTGAAAACAAGATCCATAATTAACGAAATAATTCAAAATTTGTGTTCTTCACAGATCAAAATTAGAGGGCATTGGTTTCTTGGATCATGCAGAAAGTAGCAGAATTGCTCTAAATATATATTTTGTTATAGAATTTTTCTAAGAAGAAACCCATCCAAAATAAACAACCCATCTAATATGTAATTACCAGAGAAAGAAATACCAACCCTACAATTTACCGTGATTCATAACTCCTAGAGAGAGAACCAGTCAAGTTATTTGTATTCCTTGAGAGAGGAAGGAACTAACCCGAAAATTCGCCTCAAAACTCCTGACCGTAACAGATTTGGAGGCCAATTCCGCCTGGAAGCTGGAACACCGCCCTGCAGACCTAACGCCCATAGCCAATTTATCATTGCCCAAAAAAACAGAGGAATTTGAATAGCAACTGTAACACTCCATGGAAAAACAAAAACCTTCAAAACCCTAGATGGGTCTAAGAGTGAAAAAAGATTTCAGTCGTGAGAGAGAGAAGAGGGGAAAAGAAAGAGCAGGTGGTCTAAGACCAGTGAAATTCTTGGATCGAAGAAGCGATGGGCGTTGAGGAAAGACAGAGTCGATGCCACAAGATTTTGACATGGGGAAAAAGCAAACGCATATATAACTGCTAGTTTTAGAGAGAGAGAGAGAAATTGAAGCTTTAGTGAGAGAAAAACAAGACTGCAGAGAGAGAAAAAGCGTGACGGTGCCTCGCGTTGGGAAGGGTTGAAATTGAAGATGTAGTGAGAGAAAAACAAGATTGCAGAGAGAGAAAAAGCGCGACGTTGCCTCGCGTGGGGAAGGGTTGAGTAAGGAAGGGATAGAGATGCCAGCTCAAAAACTGGATCTCTCGCATTTTATGGGCTTCGCCCTAGGATTTTAAAGAGAGAGAGAGATTTTGATGACGATAACGGCCCAGAGTTTTGGAATGATTGACAAAATGTCTAAGGGTATTTAAGTCATTTTCTATCTCATGAATTATCAGCCGCCGCCACTACAGTGATATGTGCCCCCCTGCAGTCATATGTGGCTCATGACAATTCCCAGCCGACATGGATTGCTCTTATTCTCCTCTAGTATTCGATTAAGATAAACACCACTGATCATGATAAAGGGTGCAGTTTGTATAAAGCCCATGCTTTAAACAATTAAATTAGAACCCACCTTCAAATAGTTTAGAGAAATATAATTTTAATACTCTAAATTTTTGTGGGAGCCTTAAATTATATTTTTATTTTTAGTTATAAAATTTAAAGCTTTAAAAACAGTGTAGATAGAGAATATCTATAAATATCTTGAAAATTGACGGTCCAAAAATACATTACAAGATGCATTATTTCCAAAACTTGAAATCTAATTTTTTTTTCATATCTGTATCTTGAAGTTAAGATCATCAATTTGATGATATTTAGGCATCAAAATAACTTCTTTTAGTGAAAGTTTTGAGGTAGGCTCTAATTTGATTGTTTAGAGCCTAGACTCTATATAAACTTTTGCCCTTAGGGTGACACCACCCTCCTCTTACCCTTTTGAATGTTCTCTTGAAATTATACGACTCCAAATTGAAAATATAAGAAAAGTCTTGGCAAGTTCCAGTAAGGGCCGTATTGGCAAGAGACTATATAGGTGTGAATATATAATAGTTGGAAAATAGTTTGATAGGGCTGTAGCCCGATTTAAAATAAGTACAGTTTCACGTCATAATTAATCGAATATTGCAATTCAAGTTTTGGAAAAAATTTACTTCAATTATCTCAACTTCAACATTATGGTTGTGAAAAAAAATTAGAATTTCAAACGCTAAAAATAATATACATTGTAACAAATTATCTAGACCTTCCATTTGACCTAAAAATAAGTGTTTACAACTATGTTATACCATTTTTTGAGTCGCACACTTTATTATCAGTGTTGGAAATTGATTTTAGAGCCATCGGGTTTTTCGTTGCCGAAAGCACTTTCTGGATGAGGGTTTATGATGAGGCTTTATTTTGTTTTCGTAAAGCCTATGCCTTATAAAAACTCTTGTTGGGTGAATGTGGCTATTAAAGGCCTTATGAGTGCTTGTAAAATAAAATGATATCGTGGATCATGAACTCAGTGGGAGTGTGGTCCCTCGTGGACCATATTAAGCAAATGATGTTTTCTAATACCGATCTGTGCTTGACAGTCTAGGCCAGTCGATTTGAAAAACCCCATACCCCATGTTACCTGGGTATAGAATATAAATCGATAAGGGTTCTAATAGGTCATCCATTGATGAAGTCGAAGTATACCCGGATGAGTGAGACGGGGGATTGTGTGACCCTTGTGTGTGATGGTAGCTTTTAAAGACGTGAGCCAAAGCCTCATCCATGTACCATCACACGGTATGCATATTGATAGACCGTTTTGAGAAAGAAAGTCACCTTTAGGGTAAAGCGTATGCATGTGCGAGGGATACCCCTATGCATTATAGGAGCTGTGGTTGCATCATATCAATATGACTTTAACCTGTCTCTAGGGGAGGACATGAAATCCACATACAGGGATTGCGACCCTTTGGCTCATCAATCAAACTTTGGTGACCTGCTAATGAGTCACTGCTTGGACCTTGGGTCATAGGAAACACTGGGTCGCCCTGATAAAGCAAGCATGGTCTATAGTCCAGTTGAATGTGGAGTGCCTCATGATTTAATTCCTAAACCGTATGGATTACTTTTCTATCAAATTAATTTAATTATGTTTGTTTTATGATAGAAATTATTTTAAATTATTATTTGAATTTTTATAAACCTCTGGATATTTTATTTATAAAGTTTGAGTTTATAAATATAAAAATATTGATTTTATAATGGTTTAAATGTTCAAATAATATTCTAAAATTATTTTTATTATTTTTTAAATATTTGAAATTTCATAGGGGCCTATTGTGCATATGGTCCCACTATGTTCTAGAAAGGTAGGGCCCATGAGGCTCTATCATGGGTGGCACGCTCCACCCTATGGATACTTTTAATTTTTTAGATATGGTCAATCTTGACTTATAGTCAAAGATTGTCTTGTGGTTGGATATATATTGACTATATATTCACTTGATATAATTTTGATAGATTTTGTGAAAGTATGACAAGGCTTGTGCTATTTTATAGTATGCACAATATTTTTATTGAATTTAATTTATTTAATTTTTATTGATGGAAAAATGGTTTAAGAAATGGGGATAAGGGTTTATGCACATTTCATAATGTTAATGACCCATCTATGAAATGGATGGCTCAGATCTCTCACCCCACAAGTCACCCAAGATCAATGGTTCATATTAAATCTCACAATAAGAGACAAGCCAATGAAAACCCTAAGAAACCCTAATCTTGTTCAATAGTCTATAAAAAAAGATTTACACCTAATTCACATCTTTCTCTCTCATATCTCATAAAGGGGCACGTCCCACTTAAAATTTCTATCTCTCTCTCTCTTAAGAAAAGTTTCTCTCTCTCTCTCTCTTAAGAAAAGTTTCTCTCTCATGAGAGCCCAAAAGGGGGCACGTCCCACTCTCTCATCTTTGAGAACTCTCTCTCTTCCATATTGTGAAAGAATCTAAGGGTTTAGGCTATGGAATTCTTCACTCTCCCATCTCTCAACTATAAATTTATGACTAAGTGTTTTAGGGTGTAGCAAAAAGATAATTCATCTATCTTAAACTAGGTTGTTAAGGGGATTCACCTAAGGGTTTGAGATTTGTGATAAAGGAGTTTATAGTTCCATTAGAGGGCTTGACTTAAACTTGTTTTCCCAGTTGAGATTAAAGATTGATCGTTACTCCCACGCCATCGGATGGTGGTAACTCAGTGTAGGGTGTAATAAGTGCGGTTGAGGTAATCTCCAACACTCCCTTTTTGTTTTTTCCAATATCTAATTATATTGTCTTTATATTCCCAAACATAAGCATTGTGGATATTATCTTTGTTTAAAGAAAATTAATTTAATGGCATCAAGGTTTTTAAGATATTGGATTTGCTAGTTTAATTTTCTTTGAAACAAGAGTTATTGTAATAAGACTACTTGTAAGTGATCTTTGCCAAAAGAAAAGAATATCGAGGTAATGATTATTTCTAGCCATTAGATATCAAATTTGATGGCTTGGTGTGGGTTGTAAAGTTTGAGAACTATATATTTATTTATTTATTTTAAATTTTGAGTCTAGTCAATAATATTCTTATAACCGCCCACAGACAAGGGTGTTTATAAACTCTTGTACCAAAAGAAAATTGTTAATTTTAAAGAATCATATATTTCCATTGAGTAGTGCAACATGATGCATATACAACTTGTAAAGAATAATCTCAAAATTATAGGGATTGAGATAATCCTAATTTTTAAACAACAAACTAACTAATATATATCAAAATCTACAATTGTGATATCAATCCAAATCTACAATTGTGATATCAATCCGAATCGCTAATACTCCCCCTCAAGTTGGGGCATGAAGATCCGTAACGCCCAACTTGCTTCGAAAAAATTGAAATTGCTAACAACTTAATGCTTTGGTGAGAATGTATACGACTTGATGCTTAGTAGAGACATAAAAGGTTTTAAGAATGCTCGAATGGATTTTTTCTTGGATAAAATGACAATCGAGTTCTATATGCTTAGTCCGTTCATGAAACACAGGGTTGGCAGCAATGCGGAGAGTAGCTTAGTTGTCGCAGTATAGGCACATTGGATGAAGGTGAGATATACCAAGGTCCTGAAGTAATACTTTGAGCCATACGAGTTCACATGTAGCTACAACCATGGCACGATACTCAGCTTTAGCCGAAGATCCTGATATTGTTGGTTGTTTCTTCGTCTGACAAGCACCAAGGGAAGTAAAATAACCAGTAGGCGATCACTGGGTCTAGGGGTTAGTGGCCCAATCTGAATCACAATGAGCTATTAACTGGAGCAAGGAATCGGTTGGTAAAAGAAATCCAAACGATGGCATGCCTTTGAGATATAGTGAGGTCGCCGAGGACTATGCATAAATTTACCAAGGACATGGACCGGATACATTAAATCGGGTCTTGTGATAGTGAGATAAATTAGTCGTCCCACTATACGTTGATACCGACTAGGATCATGAAGGGGTTGTCATTAGTGGCAGTGAACCGAAGGTGTTGTTCCATGGGAAAAGTAACTAGTTTTGCACCTATGAGTCCAGCTTCTACCAAGATATCAAGAACATTTTTTTTTTATTAATAAATATTCCCTTGGAACGGGCAACTTCTATGCCCAAAACAAAAATTTAATTCCTTGAAATAAAATTTGCAGTGAAGAAACTATTTTAAAAGCAAAATGAAGCGGTTGTTGTTACCAATGATGATGATATCATCAACAAAAACTCGGATAATAATAAAACTCTTACCAAGAGTGAAGGTATATACAACCACGGACTGAATAAAACCAACTGATGCAAAGTGGAAGAGAACTTATCAAAGCATTGCTGAGATACTTGCTTGAGCCTATAAAATGATTAGTTAAGTCGACAAACCCGAGTCTCCCACTGTCGAGCAAACCCTAGTGGAATCTACATGTAAACTTCCCCATGCAAATCGCCATGCAAAAAAGCATTGTGCATGTCGAGCTGATATACGGGCCATCCTCGGATACATGTAAGAGCAAGTACATACCGCACAATGTCAAGTTTTGCAACTGACGCAAATATCTTATGATAGTCGCCCTTCGACCTATGTATATCCATTGGCTACAAGGTAAGCTTTGTACTGTTTAACAGTTCCATCGGCTTTACATTTTATTTTGTATAACCACTTGCATCCAATGGGCTTCTTGCCAAGAAGCAAGGGCTGCAGTGTC